ACAACACACACACACACACACACAGACAGAGGGAGAGAGAGAGAGAGAGAGAGAGAGAGAGAGAGAGAGAGAGAGAGAGAGAGAGAGAGAGAGAGAGAGAGAGATGGCAAGTGAAGAAGTGGGAACCTGTTAAGAAATCTGTCAGAGTCTCAGGGAATTGTGTTTGGTGTGAGCTGTGTAGTCCATGCCCAGGCTGTGTGGGGACCGCCGATTCTGAATATAAGCAGCACAATGAGTGAATACGGACATTTCTTTCAGAATAGAAACAAGTGCCAAGAATGTTTCCAAGAAAAGGAAGAGTTCAACCGATCGTCTGTGGGGACCACCAGCTCTGTGGTGACCACACAGGATCCTCTGTGGGGACCACCAGCTCAAACTCCTTATGTGTCCAAGAAGAAGGGTAAACTTCCTTCCTAGCAAAGAATGGCGGCAAAGGAGAGTGAAGGTGTTCTCGGTTCTTCATCGTGGCCAGAGGTTCCTGTGTGGAGACCACAGAGGATCGGGGGTTCCCACAGAGGGTCTGTGGTCCCCACAGATCCCTTGGTAGACACAGGAGCCTCAGGCAAAGGAGAGTGAAGGAGTTGGGAAGACACTCTCCCCTTGGTGTGCTGGACGGCCAGTATTCTGAATCTGTGATGTGTCCAGTCATTCCAATGACTCTTAAGAGTCTTAACCTATTGATGTTGGTTGGGTTGTACAGGCAACAAGTGTGGATAGTCTTAGGGGTATAGTACACATAACAAGTGTGGATAGTCTTAGGGGTATGGTACGGACAAGAAGTGTGGATAATGTTAAACAGCAGTACCTTTCCCAGCTATCGGCAGCTGGCCCTGCGCGCAGAGTTTTGGCGGCGCATTTGGCCGCCGCCGGAGGCCGAGTGCGGCCTCTGTGTTAACCAGTGTGAAACGGCAAAATGGCTGGGAAAGGTACTGGTGGTTTAAAGCACTAGGACACCACACATCGGCCCGCGGGTGTCAGCACGAAACCCGCACCACTTCGGAGGCCGCCAATTTTTTTTTTCAACGGCGTTCCACGCCGCGCGGCCCGTCCGAGTTTTGCTTGTGGTGACAAAAACTTTCTGCAAGGCTGGGGCCGTGTACTTGTGTGCGCTACTAGTGTTCATGCACGGGGTGTCGGTAATATTAAGGGTATTCAGGCAATAAGTATTGACAATGTTAAGGGCATACAGTACTATACACTACTCGTATACAGGCAAGAAGTGTTGATAATGTTAAGGGTAGACAGGCAACAGGTGTTGATAATTCTAGGGGTATACATGCAACAAGTGTTGATAATTCGAGGGGTACTATACATGCAACAAGTGTTGATAATTCTAAGGGTATACATGCAACAAGTGTTGATGATGCTAAGGGCATACAGGCAACAAGTGTTGAGAATCTGAAGTGTACATACACACAGGCAACAAGCGATAATACTTCTAGCGGCATACTGTACAGAGTACACTGTACAGGCAAAAACGTGTTGGTAACGTTAAGCCACCACACCCACCGAGCCTCGATTTTTTGCTGAGGTAAAGTAGAACTGCACGCCAAGCTTTGGCCGAAGCGCCAGCCGGGCATTTTTGGGTTTTGTTTTGGCCGGCACCGCCAGCCGTTTTGGTCCAATAGCGCGCAGCCTTCGCCGGCCGTTGAAGAATGCGGTATAGGTTGTATTTAGTATTTATGACTCCGCCTCCCAGCCTGACCGGTAGTTGTGGTTTAAGGGTAGTAGGGGTTTAAGGGTAGTAGGGGTTAAATGGGGTATATCACCGTATATGTATCATCAAACAGAACTGCCTGGTAAACCAGAGAGGGGAGAAGAGGACAACAAATGAGGTGCTGTGACGTAATGTTTCGTCGGAGTTTCACTGGCTCATATCTATATATTGTATTGTGTCACATATCTATGAACTAAAAGAGCGCATTTTGCAAAACAAACGGTGGTAAAAAAAAAAAAAAAAAAAAAAAAGCAAGACCAACATGAAGGGCACGCTGAAACCATTCATTTTTCTCATTCTTCTTTTCTGTTGATAATGTTAAGGGCATACATGCAACAAGCGTTGGTAATTTTAAGGGCATACAGGCAAGAAGCGTTGATATTTATAGGGTTATAGTACCCCCCTCAAAGTGCTGATAACTTGATACTGTTAAGGGTACACAGGGTATTTATTTATCGATTTATGCATGTCATCCGAAGGACACACAGGGTATTTATAACGGGGCACTATAGGCACAAAGTGTCCCCACTTGTTTCCTGTACATCGACACAGTGTGCCTATATATATATATGTATAATAATTATAAGTATATATTGCATAGGGTATCAATAAATTATTGAATTGTACGAGGCAACAAGTGGGGACAATGTTAGGTTATTTATTTCAAATTATTTGTCCATTTACAGGCAGTCATTCGCTTGGTAAGAGACTTCTTTGTTGAGCCGATTCGGACGCGTCAGTGTGTGTCATCGGATTGTTCTACGTGGCGTAAGGCTGAGGAAGGGCGGCACAGCAACGGCAGTTGCGAGATCATGGCTGAAACTGCGCCAGATTCTCGCGGTACGGCGGTAACTCCCCTTTCTCCTGCAGCCAAAAGAACCTAGATGGATATCTGACCAAATGCATCAACTGAGCAGCTGAGCTGCTCTTGGACAGAACCAAATGTTGGAAGATATGTTTGGGTATCTGGACAAAATGTTGATCAGTCTTATACATGGCCTGTTCACAACCAGTTTTTTTTTTTTTTTTTTTTT